TTTTCAGTTGATTTATTCGCCGACTAATTAATATTAAGGGATGAAACAAAGACTACAATGGAGAATTAAATTCCCCATCCATCAATCCCCGTTTCATCCCTTAATCTCTGCAATAAAAAAATTAATATTGCGACGAAAGTCACGGCGCTATAAGAAACCCAATGTTTTCTCGGCGCAGACTCCCCATTAATTCGCCCACTAATTAAAAAATCTTCTCTTTTCTCCTAATTAATATTAAGGAATAAAACCAATGCTGTTCGATGGAGAATTAAATTCCCCATCCTTCAACCCCCGTTTCATTCCTTAATCTCTGTAATGAACAAATAAAAACTGCGACGAAAGTCGCGGTGCTATGAAAAACCTAATGGTTTCTCGGCGCAGTGACTCCCGACAACTCGCCCGCTAATTAAAAAATCGTCTCTCCCCTCCTAATTAACATTAATTAGGAAGACATTGGGTTTCTTATAGTGGCGTGACTTTCGTCGCAATATTAATTTTTTTATTGCAGAGATTAAGGGATGAAACGGAGGTTGATGGATGGGGAATTTAATTCTCCATTGTTTCATCCCTTAATATTAATTAGTCGGCGAATAAATCAACTGAAAAACATAAAGTAAACATTGAGTACAAGGAGGACAAAAGTCGCCCTCCGAACCTGTCCCTGTGACAGCGGGACTGCTACTGCCGAGTTACGCACCCGACTCACATTTACCGACAATTCGACCGGGACGCCGCCTTTCCCGTGGGGTACCAACTAACTTTTTTGGAGTCAGACAAACCCCCCGATCCGGGCCTCTACTCAGGTCTATCCTCTTTGGTCATTGCGGCAGATGAAAGACGCATTCTCATGAGAACTTTCATGAGAACGAGCAATTCGGCCGCGACAGTGCTATTTACGAAAGCGCGCTAGAATTACAAATCGCATTTCTAACCTCGAATAAGAAACGAACACTGTGTATACATTAAATACATTAGTGCATATTACCTGCAAAATACACTAGCAAAATCAGGCTGCCTGTATGGAGTAGAGATCTGGGGCTGGGCCAAGGCGGAAAAACTGGAGAGAGTGCATAAACGGCTGATAAAGATGAGCATGGGGATCAGCCGTAACACTCCCAATTACATCACCAGACTGGAGTCACGTCGACCTAGCTTGGCNAAAAAAAAATCTATTTCATCTGCACTTCAATAAGACATCAACATTTTGGAGCGGGTTCAAAGTGTCCATTTAATCCACTGAAATGTAGTATATATTGGAAAGGGCACTGATTCGCCTGACGCGAGCCGACAGAGAGCGGCGATTTTGAAGGATACCTATCTCTCTCGTACCGTCCGCTCAAAAAGTTTTCTTACCTTCTAGAACGTATAGAATTCAGTATTGGCCTTCAATTTTTGTTGTTGCATCATTATAACATAGAATTGATCATTTTTTTCCAATGTAATAATACTCGGGCCATTTACAATTTAATTAAAATAATTCCACATGGGAAAAATACAAAAAAAAAAATACAATTCAAGAGATTATTTGTTCAATCAATCTGAAGGTGTATCGAAATCCTCTGAGTCGATATCGTCATCAGTATTCGGATTTTGAAATTTAGGTATGTCCAATATAATTCCTGAAACAGAAAGTATAAATTGAATGATATAGGTTTTATTTTGAGGGAATTCCAGGGACTCTAGTTCAGTAAAATGCCTCGTGTGTCGAGGAGTTGAATTGGAATCTGTTTATATCTATTTGTCCCAATACTGCAATAAAAAATAAGAATATTGTAATTGTGAATTTTTTTAATGCATGAAGAATACAAGAGAAATCCAATGAAAACAACATCAAAATACACGATTTTTCCTCTAATTTTCTACGAAATAGCTGTTCGTGGATTAGAGGATATTTTTTTATTCTCACAATGGGACAATTATCGCCAAGACGTAAATAGCAACAATTGAGTGTGCACCACTCAGAGTACATAAGCTTTTTAACTCGCATGTACATGCTCGTTCTACGCATGCGCAACGCCTCCTAGAGTGAGACAGGTATCCTTGAAAATCTACCTCTCTCTGGCTCGTTTTCCGCTTACGGGCCTAACATGGCAGTGCCCTTTCCAGTATATACTACATTTCAGTGGGTGCGTGAGTAACTCGGCGCTGGGCAGTAGCAGTCCCGCTGTCNCGCAATATTAATTTTTTTATTGCAGAGATTAAGGGATGAAACGGAGGTTGATGGATGGGGAATTTAATTCTCCATTGTTTCATCCCTTAATATTAATTAGTCGGCGAATAAATCAACTGAAAAACATAAAGTAAACATTGAGTACAAGGAGGACAAAAGTCGCCCTCCGAACCTGTCCCTGTGACAGCGGGACTGCTACTGCCGAGTTACGCACCCGACTCACATTTACCGACAATTCGACCGGGACGCCGCCTTTCCCGTGGGGTACCAACTAACTTTTTTGGAGTCAGACAAACCCCCCGATCCGGGCCTCTACTCAGGTCTATCCTCTTTGGTCATTGCGGCAGATGAAAGACGCATTCTCATGAGAACTTTCATGAGAACGAGCAATTCGGCCGCGACAGTGCTATTTACGAAAGCGCGCTAGAATTACAAATCGCATTTCTAACCTCGAATAAGAAACGAACACTGTGTATACATTAAATACATTAGTGCATATTACCTGCAAAATACACTAGCAAAATCAGGCTGCCTGTATGGAGTAGAGATCTGGGGCTGGGCCAAGGCGGAAAAACTGGAGAGAGTGCATAAACGGCTGATAAAGATGAGCATGGGGATCAGCCGTAACACTCCCAATTACATCACCAGACTGGAGTCACGTCGACCTAGCT